GGAAAAAAAAAAAAAAAGCTGCCAAAGGCATTAGCTTTTAGATTGCATAGATTGACAAAATGGGGAGAAAATCACTTTCCAATTTTGCATCTCAGCTTGGTGGAAGAGAAGTAAGGAAAATTTGGTGATATTTAGCACAGATTGGTGCTATTTGATAGTATTTAAAATTTTTTTAATTGATTTTTAGAAATGCATACCACTTCAGTTGTCATATGTCAGGCCATTAGTATGTAAAGTTGTAGATTGAGTCATAGTTGCATCTCTGTTGACTTATTTTCTAATATAAGGAATAAACTATTTTTCATAGCATTACTTCAGTTCTTTTCTGTAATATTAATGTCTGAAAAATAATTCCATAATTAAATGTTATTTCTTTACCAAGAGAAGTGTTACTATTATGTGGCTGTTTATGCTAGTAACTCTTCTGTCACTTAGAGAAAAAAGAGATTTTTTTTTTTTTGTTCAGCTGAAGTAAAACATGAGATATTGTCAAAAAATACAAAAAGATACCTTTATAGCTGAAATGTAGAGAATGAGAACATGTACATGAATGAGAACATTGTGGAAAAAGCTTTAATCTCACGTGATTCATTTTTTTATTTACTGCTAGTGTTTTTTTTAAAACAAGTACAATGTAAAGTTTATCCTTGCCTCTACAGCGAAGAGAGGAAAGCTCTCTCTACAGGGCTATAAAAATGAACGTCACTTGAGTTATATATTTGATGTAGTTCTTAGTGGTTTTTTTTCCTGCAAATTTTGCAGTATTTGTGTGAAATGTTGGAGAGGAAAAGACTTGCTTCTCATTGATCATCTTTTATTACAGTGGCACACCAATCTTTAAAAATTCGTTCCATTCATAGAAATATGTGCATGGGTAGACATATTCCTTTTTTAAAAGTATTTGTAACTCTTGTGAACCTTGCATATGCAAGATTACCTGTTTTTGAAATTTTATTCAAAATAGTTCTGTCTATCTTATCCAGCCATCTGAGTCATTTGCACCCTGTTGGTCTGCTTGCTGAACCAGATATTTGTTTTTTGGCATAAAAAAAGTGTGGGGGTTTGAACAATCTGCAGTTTAATAAATCACTGGTTTAAACTTGTTTTTTAAATTATTTTTACAGGGGTTTTTTTTTGCCTTTTTTTGTTGGAGCTGCATGTTGCAAGCATGACAATCTTTGAAGTAAAAAGTACAGATAAAATCACCTGTTATTTAGTATATATGAAAGATGGTAGTTCTAGAAACAAAATATTAAACTGAAGGGGGGAGGTCAGCAATTTAAATGTAATGTACTGTTACATAATGTAATACCTGAATATTTATGTTGTTTGCCAAAAAATGCATATTGATAAGTATACAAACTATGTAATCTGGCCTGCTGTTGGAGGGAAATTGTAGAGAGAGAAGCCCGAACATGAGGATACTTAGCACGTGGAATATTTAGCTGTGTGTAAAATGAAAAAAACTGGGAGGGGCATGTGTTGCTGATTCTGAATGCATTCTGGTAAGTGTTCGTCTTTTCCCTGAACCAGCGTGCTTACAGGTTGTCAGTTTATTCTGAATTGGAAACTCCTTGGACAAGTTTGTTCCCTGTGACGATAACAAAGCCATCGTGTGTGTTTTAATTAAATGTAAAAGCCAAGTCAGACAATAAACACATGAAAAACAACTTCAAAATTAGTTTCTTCTCAAGGACTGGTGTAGTAAAGCAGCGAACTTGTCCTGGGTAATGATGACTGATACACTGCAGTGGAAGTTTTAGGCATGCTTTTTGTTGCTTCCTCTGGCTGTGAGAGCTTTTACTGCTCAGATTAATACTCGAATTACATAATCGCGTTCCTTCATGTTACCGCTCTGTCAAAATAATGAGAATGGTTTGAGGAAGTAGATTAAGATGAAACAAATGGGAATGGATTTAGTAGATGGATTTTTTTGGCCTTGTACAGGGAAATATAGCTGATTTATTAGACATTTGTCCTGACTGTAACTACTAGAGAAGGAAATGTTACTATGCAGATAGCACAAAATTTGTTCATAAAAGCTTCTATGCCTGACTGTGGCTTTAAAGCATTGAACTCTGAGTTTATCATCTCAATAGCTCTGGCTCCAAAGCTTACCAACTGGTGCCAGCTTTTCTGAGAGCGACAAGCCTCTGAGTTGTAGGCTTCGAGCACAGAGATGCTTTAGGGTGGAGTATTCTTGTGTGGATAGTCTGTGGGTGACCCTGTCCCAAGTTTCATTTAGTTTAGATATCCCTCTCCTGCTTTGATTTCATCCTGTTACAGGTTGTTATCCATGGGCATTTGAGTCACTCCCTTTTCTTGCTTCATGACTGTAAATTTGTATTCAAGTCTGCCCCTTGGCATTCAATTAATTGCTTTAAAGAATTGTAAAATTAAGATATTGTAGTGGTCTCTATATACTCGGAAGGGAAAAGCAAGGTAAAAATTAGAGAAAAAAACAAATGGAGGTGAATTAGTTATAATGAGACACAGTCGCTTCATTCAACTAATGGTTCCATGTTAATGAATTATTTGGACTCTGCATTAAAATATTTATGCAATGCTACTGGTGTATCAATATGAGCTCTGTAATATCTTAAAGTCTGTGATAACGTAGACTAAATGGCAGCTGCCTAGAAACAAGTCATATTCTGTGACTTAATTCAACCAATTATTCAATTAAATAATTGTTTCTCATGCTGTGATTTCTGTAAAATTGGCAACAAAACCACACCTCATCTTAGGCTTTCTCTGTGTGCTGTACGCTGTGGCTGAAGCCTGCAGCTGTGAAAACTGCACTTTGAATGGTTCCCCCACTTGAGGAAATTAGTATGAGATTAAGAGTCAAGATTGGTTCGGGATTTGGAATTTGCGGTTCTGCTTCTGAAGAGAAGATATCTTCCATCCAAGGCCAAGTTGGCTTTGCCGTTTGAGCCATGTACTGACTGCACCTCTTAGATGTCAGGTTTTGGTAGTTCTTACTGTAGTTTTTGACAGGATTAAGTAATCTCTGTAAAATACTGCAGTAATGAATTGTGGTTTGATTATCAGCATTACAGCGCAAAATATGTTAAGCAAGTTGGAAGATTTTGCATAAATGTTCTTTCCTCTGTCCCCTTTCCATGCTTTTCCTATTACTTGTGCAATTTTTTTAAAAACCAAAAAACACTTGTTTCCTCCACAGAGGACTTTGTTTGGCTGGGTAAAAAAAATACAAGGCTGAATTACCATGAGCAGGAGCTGCTACTGTACAGTGGCACTCCTGAGGCACAGAGGACCTCATAAAATTTGCACACAGACAGAAAATGACAGGATCTAAACCCTTGTAGTTATGGAAAAAGCTAGGGAAAAGTGTTTGTTCTAGATACATATAAACCAACTCTCTATCCAAGGGCTATCATCCTCACTGATAGCCAAGAGTGGTGACCAGGGATAGTCATATGCATGTCGAGGTTGTTATTCACAATTTTTTGGTGTTAGTTCTGACTCACATTTTGAATGACAGCGTTTCAGAAGCACTAAAACATGCACAGTAAAAACTGGAAGCCTTTCTGTTCGTCAAAATGTCCTCTCAGAACCCAGTCGTTGTCTTTCTGGTGCTCCTGAGAGGGTCCTGACCTGCTTCTCTTCTGGTAGCTCTTACTTTTGCCCATCGACCACGCTTTTTGTTTCGCTGACTTTATCGTTCTTGGATAACGCTTGAGAGCGCCGTTGTGTGCACAGCGCCGGGCTTCAGCTACACTTGACATCCTGGGATGCAGGTACGGGGAAGAGGGAACAAATTCGTCAAAACGCGAGTCTGGACGGCCGCTGTCTCCTGAGGGTGTGGCACTTGCTCTGTCATTTGCAGCTCCAGGCGGCACTTGTCTCTTTGC